AATCCACCAGTTTCATTGAAAAACATTGTAGCCATAATAGCAAGAAATAACAATTTACTGAAATAAACGTAACAGGTCAAAATTTGTTTAAATTAGTATTATTTTGATTGACTAGGAAACATGTTTGATATATCGTTAGAAAGGTCTTGCAGAGTGTGTCCGGAAAATATATTCAAGCTTCGTAAACGATTAACCGGATTCTTAAAAATTAGGCTAAAGTGTTGCGAAACAAAAAACGTTTTTGTGCTTTTGCCGGTTTTAGGGGCATATGGGTACACCCAACATATTTAGTGTTATTCTATAGGCCAATACCTTTCAAGCGATACCTTATATATTAAGTTCCGGCCACTAGTTGGAATGATATAGAGGTAAATGTGTTTTGGTTCAGTCTCCACTACGAGATGTATGTGGCGTCTGTACGTACCATCATTTAATTTTTTTAAAACTTTCAGGAATTAAAGTACACAAAAAACTAAGAAGGTCTTGTTCCAGGATGTTTTGATTCGTATGCCTGTGTGGGCGTGGCTGCTGCCTGAAATTCGAAAAAAGGCAATTTTTTTAACTACCACTGAGGCCGCACTACTCAGTCCATGTCATTGATGTGGATATCAGTAGAAGGGTCTTCAAACAAGCTATCTAACGCTATCTTTTGTGTTTATAAAATATAAATACGCTATAACGTTATCGCCTGAAAACTAAAAATCGGGCTGCTGAAAATAGAGATTTCGGGCATTTTCTTAAAAACTGGTTAGTCGATTTTATTCTAGGTTTCCCTAGAAAGAAGAAGAAGCCCAAAACCTTAGCTTTCATCTGGTATATAGCTTATATCTGGGAAAACTCCTGTTGTGGAGACATTGCTATTCAAATTGAAAAAATGTCGCTCCAAAAAGGGTGAAATGGTTAAAAATTAACATATCCGTCTAATTTGGTTACTTTAAGAAAATAATAAAAATAACATACCCAGTTCCCCGAAAAAAATCGCCCATTCCCCGATTGCCACTTAAACCGAAATTCCCTGCAAATCGGGGAATTTCCCGCGAGTTGACAATTTGAAGGATGCAGCTGTGCTAATCACTTCGTACATGTCTTGGAAACCACAATTTGTGTGTATTTTAGATTTTTTTTCAGTCACATCCGAAATTGTAAAATTCTTCCCCATTTTAATTGCAGGTATGTACACAATATTTAACTATGCTACATGGGTTTATCACCCGCACTTAACCTACCTGGTATTTACCTATAGTTGTACATAAATATGTATGTATGAATGCATTTAGTTCACCCAATGTTCCGCTACTACTTACATACATATGTATAAATTGCCACTGAGCAAAAATACTTGGAAAAAATCATTAGTTTAATGGCACGAGTCAACACCGTACACGTGATAGAAGTGAAACTTCTTAAAAAAAGCACATGTGTGCGCCCCACACCCAGTAGAAATCTTAACAACAATTAAACTACGAGGCATTCAGACGAATACAGTTGTTTATTATCCAAAGTTGGTACCAAGTTGATAAGTTTTTATCATTTCTCATATTTTTTTTTAATTTTTTTATTTTTTCGAATACATATCATCTCTTGATATCATCATATCCTTGATCATCCTTTTCTCGCTTTATTCCGTATTCGAAAAACTATGTGTTTCAATGGACACATCGATTTGAATACATAATTTAGATTTAGAGAATATGTTTTAGCAATTTATTTGAGAAAAATAAAACATTTAGTTTTTTTGTTTGTATTTTCGTCGATTTTAAATTTGCTACCCCAAAATAATTGATATCAAATAAAATACCTCTTTGAGGTAAAATTTTCGAGTGACGAAAGCTGAACTAGAAACACAAAATTTATGATATCAATTTCGTGACGAAAATTATACGCATTTTTTAACTGCCTTTCAAACGTATTGAAAATCTTTTTTTACTTATTCGGAACGTTGCGAATTTCCGTTTACTGCTAGAAACACAATAAAAAAAACAGAACTTTTGCAACGATTCGTATGAATAAAAAAGATATTCCCTACGTTTGAAAGGCAGTTAAAAAATGCGTATAATTTTCGTCACGAAATTGATATCATAAATTTTGTGTTTCTAGTTCAGCTTTCGTCGCCCGAAAATTTTACCTCAAAGAGGTGTTTTATTTGATTATCATATCGCTTATCTCTGGAACCACCTATGCTAACGTCCTGAAATTGGACACAGCAACATATGTTGTCAATACCGTACTTGCGGCGAAGAGTGGTAGATTTTGGATAGGGGGGCGTGGCACCGCTCATACAAACAGAAATTTTCATATCGCTTATCTCTGGAACCGCTTATGCTGACGTCCTGAAATTTGGCACAGCAACATATGTTGTCAATACCGTACTTGCGGCGAAGAGTGGTAGATTTTGGATAGGGGGGCGTGGCACCGCTCATACAAACAGAAATTTTCATATCGCTTATCTCTGGAACCGCTTATGCTAACGTCCCGAAAATTCACACAGCAACATATGTTATCATTACCGTACTTTCGGCGAAGAGTGGTAGATTTTGGATAGGGGGCGTGGCACCACCCATATAAACTGAAATTCTCATATCGCTTAACTCTGGAACCGCTTATGCTAACGTCCCGAAAATTGACACAGCAACATATGTTATCAATACCGTACTTTCGGCGAAGAGTGGTCGAGTTTGGATAGGGGGGCGTGGCACCGCCCATACAAACTGAAATTCTCCTACCGCTTATCTCGGGAACCGCTTCTGTTGACGTCCTGAAATTTGCACAGCAACATATGTTGTCAATACCGAACTTACGGCGAAGAGTGGTAGACTTTGGATAGGGGGTCGAGGCACCGCCCGTACAATCTGAAATTCTCATATCACTTATCTCTGGAACCGCTTATGCTAACGTCCCGAAAATTTACACATCAACATATGTTATCAATGCCGTACTTTCTGCGAAGAGGGGTTGATTTTGGATAGGGGGCGTGGCACTGCCCATACAAACTGAAATTCTCATATCGCTTATCTCTGGAACCGCTTATGCTGACGTCCTGAAATTTGGCACAACAACATATGCTGTCAATACCGAACTTACGGCGAAGAGTGGTAGACTTTGGATAGGGGGGCGTGTCACCGCCCATGCAAACTGAAATTCTCATATCGCTTATCTCTGGAACCACCTATGCTAACGTCCTGAAATTTGACAGAGCTATGTATGTAATCAATAACGTACTTATGTCGAAACGTGATAGATTTTGGAAAAGGGGTCGCGGCACCGCCAATGCAAACTGAAATTCTCATATCGCTTATCTCTGTAACCGCCTATGCTAACGTCCTGAAATTTGACACAGCAACATATCTTGTCAATACCGTACTTACGGCGAAATATGGTAGATTTTGGCAAAGGGGGCGTGGCAGCGCCCATACAATCTGAAATTCTCATATCGCTTATCTCTGGAACCACCTATGCTAACGTCCTAAAATTTGGCACAGCTATTTATGATGTCATTAACGTACTTATGGCGAAAAGTGGTATATAATAGGAAAGGGGCGTGGCACCGCCCATGCAAACTGAAATTCTCATATCGCTTATCTCTGGAACGGCTTATGCTGACGTCCTGAAATTTGACTCAGCAACATATGTTGTTGTGATGAACATCTCATGTATACATACAAATACATATGCATATTTTTTATGTATACAAATCGAGGTTCCTTTTTCGTTCTATTTTCACAAGCTACTGAGGAGGAGACTAGGTAGAATTAGCATTAATCAATCCGGTATTAATGTTCATAATTCGATTTTAAGTGTTCCTGTAAATTCGCTATAAATTATGCTGGTGGAATTCAAGATAGTAATTCGCATAAAGGATTTAGTATTCATGATAGGTAAAATTCCAAAGTGTATGAAAAAAGATGTCGAATTTCGACAACTGGGCGATACCAGTATATATAATTATGTGTTATTTATGAACAAAATGTAGGTTAAGTATAATACCAATGCTTAGTTAAGAGTAATATCAATAGTTAAGTACATAACTAACGCTTGTGTTTCTATAAACTGGAAAACTCAAATCGTAATTATAACACTGAATGGAGTTTTCTTAAATGTAAGTTTAAAATTAAATATATATTCATTGTTAAATTAAATTTTTATTAAAACGTGTATTTTGTGTTATTTTGTGAATTTATCAAGTAAAATTCTAAGTTTTCGAATATATGTATTGTGAAGACCCCAAGTCCCTACACTCAGGGACTTCACAATTGGCTGTCACATTTAATGAAATTGAATTGTTGAGTTTTTATATTATATATATATATATATAAATGTACGTAGAATTTTGAATTTTCCATAATTGTTATATATATATACATTAATACATGTATGTAGACCTGAATTGTATTTATCTACTTATATATACATATTAAATTAATTAATTTTTGGATATATATATTTATATACGTGAAATTGACATACATATGTACATATTTATGTATGAAGCAATACGTTATATTGGTGTGACGTGAAAACGCTGCCAAGTAGAACTTATATGGTGTGACGTGGAAACGCCGCCAAGGAAATACGTTATATTGGTGTGACGTGCAAACGCTGCCAGCTAAATAGCGAAATAAAGAAGCGTCACTATAAGAATCATTGGCGTATTTATTTTAACGTTTGGATAAGGGAACCCAACATCCGACTGAGCCACAGCCCAGCTATAGACCGGATAAACCGGGTTCGTTACAATTGGCGCCCAACGTGGGGCCCTTAAAAATAAAGGAAGCAGTAAGGGCCAAGGAGGAGAACTCACAGATAACAAAAGTGAAGTGAAGTGAAGTGATTTGGAAAACTACCAAGCAAGAGTGCAAAGACACCTTTGAAGTGATAAAGACACAGGGTAAAGCCCAGAAATTAAGAACTGTGAAAGTAATCAAACATTCCTTACCAAGAAGAGGGTAACGTGAAACAAAGGAACATAAACATAAAAAAAAATAAAAAAAATAAAAAAAATAAAAATGGTGAAAACAAAGTGGGTGTACTACTTCAATAAAGAGGAGCTTGTGACCTATACGACGGAGTTCGGCCTTGACAATTCGGGGACCGTCGAGGAGCTGCGTAAACGCCTCTCTACATTTGTACAAGAGGAAGGGGAGACTGAGAACCATCGCGATCGGGTCACTGATTTAGCGCTTAAGCATACGAGGTCTACAAGCGCGGGGAACGCACCAACACCGAAGAGACCCGAAGTGCTACTACTACCGCCTACACAACAACCCATCAACGACGACAGCACAAGAGGAACGCCGAACGTGTCCATGTATCCAGTATACGTCGACTCACAACGATCAGCCCCAACTATCATGGACCGCGTACGCAAATGGGGCGTCAAATACGATGGCGGCAAGGACCCGCTGGGTTTCATCGAACGCGTCGAAGAATTAGCCGACGGGTACGAGATAGAAAGAGACGCACTTCCACGAGCATTACCCGAGTTATTTAAGGATAGAGCCCTCGTCTGGTTACGAAACAATCACGGCCACTGGAGAGACTGGGAGACGTGTAAGCGAGATTTCCTGAAGTTCTTCCTGAATTCCCGGTATTTCGAAAGACTCGATGATGAGATACGGCAGCGTGTTCAACGGCCCAGAGAGGCATTTAAGGACTACGTTATATTGGTGTGACGTGCAAACGCTGCCAGCTAAATAGCGAAATAAAGAAGCGTCACTATAAGAATCATTGGCGTATTTATTTTAACGTTTGGATAAGGGAACCCAACATCCGACTGAGCCACAGCCCAGCTATAGACCGGATAAACCGGGTTCGTTACAGTATTAAAGCCTTTATTCCGAAAAAAAACAAGATTTGTATAGTGATAGAGACTCAAATGCCTGCCAGCGCATCCGCCCAGATAATTCATTAAGCACACCCAAGTTTGAGCGACCATTACCCGGAGCTCCTGCAAAATGCTTAACATCAAAATATAGAATGTCACAAATATGAATCATAACACATACAAAGTTAATTGCTACCACATAAATTCAGGGCATGCATTTGCTTGGAGACTCCGTTGGTTATGGTGGTCATAAATTCAACCAGCACATTCAATGGTCCATTACCCGCAGCTGCCCCAACATGATGAGTAGATTTTAATGAGAAAGCGCTGGAAAATAAATAGCAATTATCTATTAAAATTATAAGAAAAGTGTCTGTTTACAAGTTACCTGCTCTTCTCGAGCTTTCTAAGAAAAATAGAAATTCGCGACTCGGAGACACGTAAGAGAACGTGAACCAGAACTGCATTTTTATGTAAAATTGGTTTAAGTACTAGCGTTTTCAGCATTTAATAGTTCATTACCATTTACGGTGTAATATAACAAGTTAATCACTGAACTATGATAATCTGTATTAGTATCTATAATAATAGAGAATAATTTAATTTTTTTTTTACACTTTTGTAACTTATTTCGGTACTATTACACAGTCATGTCTTGTGCCACTCTGCCATAATACGGTTGTTGCTCACTTTCATACCACAGTAATTTTGTATACAACTCTGAATCAACAAAATTCATGCTCCTTCTCATTATCAACCCTGATCAGATTTTACCCCTGAGGAGTACTCAAAAAGGTTTATTACTGTATATACTGTGAAGTGGACACTAAAGTTAGTTGCAGCTTTTTTGACAGGTATCCCATTGAAAATTATGTCGAAAAGTTGAGATTAACTTTAGAGCCGACTTAATTTTGACTATAACTACGGCCCTTTGTTTCCCAAATCCGTGTCTAAGTATTGGAAAATACTGACTACATGTTAATACATGTTAATAAGTTTGTTAAGGGGCCGAGTTTCTTATCCATAGATGTACTGTGTAAAAATGTCCGCTCTTTTCGGTGGATACATTTGGATACAATTTTAGATTTTTTATGGATACTATAAAGGCGAGGACAGTGGCAACACAGGTGCCGACAATTGGTTTACTTACTTTTGTTAAGAGCAAAATATACCACACAACCTTCGAGCACCCCCATACACAACACAAATGGCTTGAAGAAAAGGAAATTTCGCTTGGTTTACCAAGCCGCTTGTGTGGTGTATTTCGCTCTTTAGAGTAAAGCTCAGTGTTGCCGCGCCGTCTCAAGAAAATGTATCCCTGACCAAGCCAAAAATGTATCCAAATGTATCCAATTTTCTTTTTTTACATATACACCTCAGAACTTGTAAGAAAACCAATACCTGTGCATAAAATCAAGCATTTGTAATTTCCATTTATAAAGTACATTTTTTGTGCATTAGTATTTTGCAAAGTAAATATAATAAACAGCAAGTACAATCTAAAAAGAACATGTAAAACTACTACTGAAAAGTATCTATTTTTCAACAAGAATCTGTATAAATATACGTATAGGATGTTCAGTATTTGATTTTGAACTTGAGATTTTTCAACAAGAATCTGTATAAATATACGTATAGGATGTTCAGTATTTGATTTTGAACTTGAGATCTTTAAAATATACACATAAATACACATATGTAGAATGTTTAAAATTGCACAAATTTTCAAACTACAAATACATTTCCTACTAATAATAAACATTACTTTATTTTAAAAATTTTATGTGTAAAAGTAAACAGGCAATGATTAATTTTATTTCACGGCGTGCAAATATGCATACATTAAAAGAGGAAACTGGTTACCTCTCTTGTTTAGGCCAACGGCCTAAATTTGTCGCAGCATTTTCGACCCACCCTAATGCTTAACATAACTTCATTATTATGTCAACTGTCGAGCTGTTTACTATTATGTTACTTATGCTAAAATGTCCCTTCGGTAAATAAACAGTTCGACAGGCAACAGTAATAAGAAATTTCAACCGTTCACTTGTTTTCCGAGCGTGAATCCAAGAGGACGTTTTCCTGCCACCGTGTTCCAAGTCAAATAAAAGGTAACCTGTACAACCAAAATATATCCATACATATATTAATATATTAATACAATAATCTATAATTTTGAATAAACACCAATTTATATTTGATACTGATACAAACGTTTTGCTTTGGTTTTCATTTCAATAAATTAAATCGGCCACAACTTTGCTCAAGCGTTGTGCCGGTTTAACATACTGGTCCTTCGAGCCGGATATGAACCAGCGACCTATGGATACTGCGCAAATAAACAAAATTTTTTTAGAGTGTATTTAAAGTCTTTTCAGTAAAATTCATAAAACTTTCCTTAAATAAATCAAATTTAGTTTTTTAAACTACATTGAAATCTTCTTTCTTTTTAAATTAACAAATGAAAATATGTGATATGAAAGAGATTAATACAGAAAGGGTATAATTTACTTTACATACATCGTCGTTTAAAGTACAAAACCGCGTATCGTCATTCTGCAAAACCGCGTAACTGACATTGGCTGCCAAAAATTTGATTTGCTCACCCAAGCGCTTGGCTCAATCCTTATCCATTCGTCCTGAA